CAGAGATTAATGCACTATGCAGAATTTCTGGGAGTTCACAGACTGAAATCTGCCCCAGACCTAGTCTGTGGAATGCAGTTGATGAACTACTGCTTCATTAGGAAAAGATCCATTAAACAAAAATCATAAAGCGCAAAGCATAAAGGAAGAAAACAGGTACATTCAAGTACATTAAAATTGAGAACTTCTGTTTATACACCTTGAGGAGAATAAAAAGAAAAGCCACAAAACTGGGAGAGGATTTTATAAAATATATAACTGACCAAAACAATTATCCGCAGTACATAAACAATCCTTACAGATTGCCCAATAGAAAAATAAAGTCTTAACAGGCATCTCCCAGAAGAGGAAACCAGTATGGCCAATAAGCATATGAAAAGGATGTTCAACCTTTTTATAATCAGGAAAATGAAATAAAGTCACGTTGAGATGTCATTTATAACTGTCAGATTGACAGAAATGAAAAAGGTGAACAATAAAAAGAATATAGAGTATTCGTACATTTAATAATGCAGTAGGGATATAAATAGGTACAGTCACTTTAGAAATTAATTTATTGTTTAGTAAAGTTGAAGGTACATATAACTTGTGGCCTAGTAATTTTACTCCCAAGTACATACCTAGAGAAAATTTTAACATGTACTCCAGGAGATGGGCACAGTATGTTCATAGCATTGCTTGCAATAGTTAAAAATCAAAATAACCCAGATAGCCACCAGCAATAGAATGAATTTTTAAAAGTTATGATGCATACACAGTGGGGAAAAAACAGCAGTGAAAATAAGTAAAATGGCTCCTGAAACAGCGTGGATAACAGGCCCATAATGTAGAACAGTAACAGCGATAAAATACAGGTTGCTTCTGCTAGTGGATCACTAGGGGGAAAATACAAGTTGCCAAAGAAACAATGATATAAAGTTCAAAACTTGCAAAACTATTGTTCAAGACACAGCTTGCCCACCTTGGATCATGGGGAGTTCTGGTGTGCTGCAAACACCTCACAATGGCAACCTCTCCACCTGATAACAGTAGCTACTTCCTGGTTTTGTTGTAAAGATAATATGAGATAATGTATATAAAGTGCTCAGCATGTTGTCTGACACATGATAAGCACTCACTAGTTATTAGTTGTTACTACTATCAGTAATTTCCTGACTCTCTCTAATTAACTGCCCCTTTCCAGAACTCTCTCAAGTTTTCTGCTTTAGTATCCTTCATTCTTTACTGCCAAACATGCTACCATGAGCAACAAAACTGAAGGAAGATAATTTTTAAATTATATGATAATCCTTACTATTTAGCAGTGATTGTTAATCTGTTTTTATATCACAGACCTTTTTGAGAAGCTGGTGAAAATTCTGGTCCTTCATCCCAGAATAATGCACATATGCAGAATTTCTGGGAGTTCACAGACTTGAAATCTGCCCACAGACCTAGTCTGTGGAATGCAGTTGATGAACTACTGCTTCATTAGGAAAAGATCCATTAAACAAAAATCATAAAGCGCAAAGCATAAAGGAAGAAAACAGGTACATTCAAGTACATTAAAATTGAGAACTTTTGTTTATACACCTTGAGGAGAATAAAAAGAAAAGCCACAAAACTGGGAGAGGATATTTATAAAATATATAACTGACCAAAAACAATTATCCACAGTACATAAACAATCCTTACAGATTGCCCAATAGAAAAATAAAGTCTTAACAGGCATCTCCCAGAAGAGGAAACCAGTATGGCCAATCAGCATATGAAAAGGATGTTCAACCTTTTTAATAATCAGGAAAATGAAAATCAAAGTCACCTTGAGATATCATTTCATACCTGTCAGATTGACAGAAATGAAAAAGGTGAACAATAAAAAAGAATATAGAGTATTCGTACATTTACATAATGCAGTAGGGATATAAATAGGTACAGTCACTTTAGAAATTAATTTATTGTTTAGTAAAGTTGAAGGTACATATAACTTGTGGCCTAGTAATTTTACTCCCAAGTACATACCTAGAGAAAATTTTAACATGTACTCCAGGAGATGGGCACAGTATGTTCATAGCATTGCTTGCAATAGTTAAAAATCAAAATAACCCAGATAGCCACCAGCAATAGAATGAATTTTTAAAAGTTATGATGCATACACAGTGGGGAAAAAAACAGCAGTGAAAATAAGTAAAATGGCTCCTGAAACAGCGTGGATAACAGGCCCATAATGTAGAACAGTAACAGCGATAAAATACAGGTTGCTTCTGCTACTGGATCACTAGGGGGAAAATACAAGTTGCCAAAGAAACAATGTATATAAAGTTCAAAACTTGCAAAACTATTGTTCAAGACACAGCTTGCCCACCTTGGATCATGGGGAGTTCTGGTGTGCTGCAAACACCTCACAATGGCAACCTCTCCACCTTCTGGGACAGCCAGAGCCCTGGGCTGGTTGCTTTCCTGGGTGGGCGGCATCAGCAGCCCTTGGAAGGCAGCCTGAGGGTAGTCGAGTCTGATAGACACTCTAGTGCAGTGCCCTGAGTTCAGCCAAGGAGGTGAGCTACCACCTGCACAGCCAGATATAGACTCTTCTTTTTTTTTAAGTTTTTCTATAATTTAAATTTTTTCTTTCTTTTTTTTTTTTTCAAGGGATTGGCCTTTCTGAGGTACAGACTCTTATGCTGTCCAGCACAGCCTGAGGGGCAGCCTGGTGGGGCCACCATGCGGGCCAATGATGAGCACAGCTCCAGGAGCATATATAGGATACCCTTATGCCTGTGAAACATGATTTAAAAGTTACCACCTTACATGCCAAGTTTCGCAGTATAACGATTGTTTCAGTTTACTGAGGCTGCAGAACAAAAGGCCAAAGACTGGGTGTCTTAAACAACAGAAATTTATTTTCTTAATTCTGGAGGCTAAGATCAAGGTGCCAGCACAGTTGGTTTCTTCTGCGGCCTGTCTCCTTGGCTTGTAGGAGACATCTCTCTCTCGGTGTCTCCCATGGTCTCTCTCTGGGTGTGCCTTTTGTCCTAATCTCCTCCTCTTATGAGGACACCAGTCATATTGGATTAGGGCCCTGCCTCATTGCCTCATTTTACCTTAATTATCCCTTTAAAACCCTATCTCCAAATACAGTCACATTGTGAGGTGGTAGGAGTTAGGTGCATTTTTGGAGGGGACCAATTCAGCCCATAACAATGATGAACAAATTGTCATTGCAAATTTTGATCAGGGCTGGGCGCAGTGGCTCATGCTATAATCCCAATACCTTAGAGGCCAAAGGGGGAGGATTGCTTGAGGCCAAGAGTTCAAGACCAGCCTGAACAACACAGAGAGATTCCATCTCTACCAAAAAAAATTGGCCAATTAGCCAGGCATGGTGGCAGGTGCCTATAGTCCCAGTTACTCAGGAGGAGTAACTGAGCCAAGAGCATCACTTGAGCCCAGGAGATCGAGGCTGCAGTGAGCCACGATGACACCACTGCACTAGACCCAGGGCAACAGAGCAAGACCTTGTCTTTCAAAAAAAAAAAACACTTTTTATCAGGAGACAGAGACAGATACAGCCATTGCAAACATAGAACCTGATTATTTTTTAGAAGACTATGGATTAATGCAAGTTTCTCACTAAAAATTTTGAAATCTTTTGAAAAGATTTTATTTGAACATTTTATACTAATATGAATTTTCCTCTAATGTTTTATATTTGATTATCGCAAATTCATAATGTAAATGAATGATCTCCCCAAATCTACTCCATTTTCCCCCAGTGTACCATATAAGCACCATCATTTTCTTTGAATTTCCTCTCGTGAAAAGGTTGGGAAGCATTATGTAGAGATATAAACACAGTGAAACTGTAAAGAAAACTAAACACTAAATCCAGGCCAGTGATCCCCTCTGAGGAGGAAAGGACACACAGGGGCTTTGAAAATAACAGTGACATTCCTCAATGAAGTTGTGCACACACAGTCTTTGTAGCATTGTCCTTCATGTTAAATGTGTATTTCATAAATATTTTTGTACCTATTCAGTATTTAATCAAATAAGTTAAAAAGAAAAACTGCTTTCTAAGTCCTCCAGAAAATTTTATCTTCTCTCACTCTCTGTATTCAGGCTGCGTTTCTGGCTAACTTTATACACCTGCAGCACTGTCAGCGCAGCTCGAGCACCCGAAACAGTTCATGGCAGCAGCGCCGCCCAGTGTTTAAAGATGTGTCTGGGCAGTACCTGGAGAAGCAGAGACAGAAGGACGCCAGAAAAAATCAGTTTGAGCACGGTTGGCCTGTAATTCTAAGCTGTGCTAAAACTGAATTTCCTGTAGTTGTAAGATGGGCATAGCTTTCCTCAGTCACATACGAATATTTCAGCTCTCTAAGCCTAGGTAATCTATGAACTGTCCCAGGCAGCTGGGCCTGAGTCACACGGCGGAGGTTTGACCTGTTGCTCCAAAGCTGTGTGGTGGATGAGGTCACTTCTGCTTTGACCCCTTTTTTTGCTTTGGGACTGTTAGTAAATTACCCCATCTGTAGTTTTTCATCCATAAGGTGAAGATCACTATATCCATTTCCTCTCAGATATTATAACGACAAATGAAAACAGTATTGGTAAAGTGCTCAGAGCTTCAGGAACGAGGATGTGTGCAGTTTCACGTTATAGGGGACTGACATATATTTTCCTAGTTTAAGAATTAAAGTTAGTGAGTAATGTACGCGTTCTGCCCAGAGCGTTTGAAAGCAATCTGTTGGACAAGGTCCTTGTGATAAACAAGGCTGTTGCCTAGAGGCATAGCAAAGGACCTGAGTTGCAAGTAAGCAAGAGCTACCCCACCCCACAGCATTGGGGGTCTGGAGGCCACACGATAAACATATTGTTCCTGTGTTTGCTGCGTACACCCCATAAGATGCCTGGTTAGTCAATGACGGGTAAGACCCCTCAAGGGAGGGGCGACCTAAGCCAGGCACAGCCGCCGGGGTTCAGCCGAAGATCTTAGGGGGTCACCCTAAGAGAAGCTGGGGATGAGAAATGCCCCCTGTGGCTCACCTTGCCCATCCTTACTAATCTGTCCTTTATCTATGCCTGGTGCCTAGAGCAACCACCTTGAAATTATGAATCAAGGGATATCTGCTTCCCTAAGGCTACACATTCCGGAATTTATGGCTATTGCTGGCACACCTGGGTGGTTATGTACAAGGAACTAACTTTAATCTTTTAGAGTATAAAAATAAAACCGACCCGGTGTATTGTTACTCAAGTCAACCGTTTGTACATGTGTCCGCGTTTTTCTTTGTATTCTACGTTTGTGTTTTGTGTTCTGTGTTCATCTTCCGTCCTATAAACGGGCCACGACACACGTGGTGTGACTTCATCTCTCAACGTGTTGTGGGAATGTGCCTGGCGGGCAGCGGCGGGGGCAGGAGTATCAATAGGAACACGCTAATGCTGTGTGGCAGAAGGTGCTCTGCAAATGCCGGCTGGGGCGCTCTCAGCGCTAGGTGTCATACCGACCCCTGAAGCACACGGCGGGTCTTCTTTTCTAACGCTGGTCGAATATAAGGTTGCGAACACAGCCTCCCCACTAAAAGAACACGAGGAAAAGCAAGTGTCAAGACGTAGTTTGTTTTCAAAGCATCGTCAGTATTTCCCACTGGCAGGCAGACAGTTTTCTCAGCCCGGGCTGTCCGTGGTTTTCAGGGGTCTGTGCTAACTCACAGGGTCGTGTTGCTCTAGTGAGTGAGCCATGCTCGTTTTTTTCGGCATTTGTCTTTTAGGCCTGGATGAATGAAAAGTTTGCCCCGGAGCTGCTGGAGAGCAAGTCTGAGATTGTGGAATGTGTCATGGAACAGCTAGAGCATATGGTAAGAGCCGCTTGTCTCAGGGTTGCCAGGGAGGAGAAAGTTAGAAGCACTTGGTCAGCATAGTGAGAGGTTGTCTGAGAGCAAATCCGTTTAGTTTGGTTCAACCCAGTTTTGTTTTGTTTTTTTTTACGTACTAAATTAGTCATCTGTATTTATGAATCGTGAGAGTTCCTGTAAACGTCTGGACATCAGCTTCCCTTGAAACATCTAAAAACCTGCCGTCGCCGGCACCACGTTTCTGCGTGAGAACAGTCGAATGCAGCAGGGTCCCTGACTACCCATCCTTCTCCCACACCCTGCCCGCGTGGCCCCTGCAGACATTTGAGTTTGTGATCCTTGGCGTAGATGATCTGGGCTCAACTCATTATCACCTGCAGAGTAGCTTTAGCCCTTTGTACTCGCTTGCTTGTTTTCTCAATTCCTTTATTCTACTCGGGATTTAATGTTTTAAATACCCCAGATTTTACAAAGCGCAGCTGTAGAATAAAAAACTGGAGTTTCTTTTCATACAGACTTACTTATTTGGATCTTTTTTTTTTGTATTTCAGATTATCGATACATTCAAAGAGTCATTTTAATCTCTATAATTTTTGCTAGCCGTGTTGAGTCACGCTCGACATCCGAGTGCAAAGGGTTAAAGTGTTGGTGCTTTGCAGGTCTCCAGCTGGTGTTCTGACACTGCTTTTAGACCCAGCAGACACCTCTGTGCTCTGTATTATCTCCTTCGCAACCGGACTGGAGTTCTCCTGGGCCCTCTGGCTGAGTAGATTCAGATTCTCCTCAAATGGTCATTTTCTAAAAGCAAATGAGCTCTGTTTGACCTTCATACAGCGAGACCGAAGTCATATATTGTTTATGCAATCAAAAAACTAAAAGCAACAGAGAACCCTCATAGCATGAGTTTTTGTTTTTTTCATTTTCCTCTGACCGAAGCGTAGTCTTTTGGGTCTCAGTGTTGCCAGTGATGAAGGTCCTTGGTCTTTAAACATGATTTTATATATATATATATATATATATATAAAAGCTTTAGTTTCTCTTTTAATAGGAAGAAAATCTCAGGAGAGTTAAAAAGGAGGATCTGAAGGTCAGCATCCACCGGATGGAGATGGAGAGGATCCGCTACGTCCTCACCAGCTACTTGCGGTGTAGACTCACGAAGGTGTGGCGCGGAGCCGCTGTGGGTGTCCAGGCCGTGGGGAACGCAGTGCAGACCCAGCGTCCTGGGGGGATGTTGGGCTGGGGCCTGGGAGGGTCGGAGGCCTGAAGATGCTGCTGAGAGCCCGGCAGCAGCACAGCTAAAGAGTGAGGAGGGCATGAGACCGTCCCGGGGAAGCACAGGGGGAGCGTGTGTTGGGCCACCCCGATGACGCCATACGCACGACTGCCCCGTGAATGGCGCCCCCTGGAGTCACGACAGGGCATTGCCGAGGGTGCAGTTGTTCGCATGGATTGAATAGGGTAGTAGTGACTGGAGGAGAACTGGTCCCAAAAATTTACTTTGCACCTGTCAAAAGGGCAATGTCAGTGTCAAAGGGAGCAGGGTGACTTGGCATTCTGCAGAGCCACTCTGTGACCACCTAACTCGCAGAAATGGACTTTTGAAATACGATGTCTGTTTTAACCTTGGAAAATTGCCACTTCCTTGAAGTTTCTTTTCATCTGGTTCCATTTGTCTCCTTAGTTACACAAATGAAATACATCCTCTCCTCTACACGAGAGTGCTTCAGATACCTGAAGATAGGTCTCATCGAAGTCTTCTCTCAGCTACACCTTTCAGCCATTTGAATACATTCACTGTCCTGATCTCTTCTCTAAAGAGGTTCTAGCGTGCCGGTATCCTTCTTAAATTGTACTGCTGGGACCAAAACACAGTATCCCATTGTAGTTTCGCCACTTTTATGAAAAACGGATGATCGTTTCCATACTCTGGGCATGGAAGTGGTGGTAATGCCACCCACGTTGTAGCAGCACACCTGACAGGTGCATCATGCCGAGTTTACCCCGCGCCCACCGTTGACTGCAGCCCTCCCGAAGCAGTTATCGTCACCCCGTCCAGTCACCGCCCTGCGTTTACAGGGCTTCAGTCTTGATCCCCGAGTGTGGGGCTTGAAACTTATCCCTCTAAAACTCTGTCTTTTTAGATTGGGCTGTTCCCTGGTCTCTGGATCCTGTTGTGTAATATACTAACCATCTCTTAATACTTTATGTTATCAGCAATTTTGGTAGACATGCCATCAAAAATCTTACCCAGGCCGGGCGCGGTGGCTCACGCCTGTCATCCTAGCACTCTGGGAGGCCGAGGCGGGCGGATTGCTCGAGGTCAGGAGTTCGAAACCAGCCTGAGCAAGAGCGAGACCCTCTCTACTAAAAATAGAAGAAATTAATTGGCCAACTAATATACATAGAAAAAATAGCCGGGCATGGTGGCGCAATGCCTGTAGTTCCCAGCTACTCGGAGGCTGAGGCAGGAGGATCGCTTGAGCCCAGGAGTTTGAGGTTGCTGTGAGCTAGGCTGACGCCACAGCACTCACTCTAGCCTGGCCAACCAAGAGTGAGACTCTGTCTCAAAAAAAAAAAAATCTTACCTGATTCATTAATCAGACTGGGGCAACAATAAGAGAATTTCACCAGAGATTTCCCTACAGTCTGATGTCCACCCGTTGAGTCGATATTTTGTGTTCGCCATTTATGAATCTCCCAGTCTCTACTGTCCCCCCAGCCCAGGTTTGTGACACAAGGGTGTCACAGAGACGTGGTCCATGTCTTACAGCATGCCTCTCCACCCCATCCCCATCTGCAGGCCTCATAGCCTTTTCGGGGAGGCGGGGTTGAGTAAACCCCCTTCTTCACGTTAACCATGTCCTTTTCTCTGACAGATGTTTTCATGATGGCTTTCATTTATCCTCACAGATAGAGAAGTTTTTCCCTCATGTCCTTGAGAAGGAGAAAACACGCCCCGAGGGGGAGCCTTCCAGCCTTTCTCCAGAAGAGTTTGCCTTCGCCAAAGAGTGAGTAAGCAGGGCTCGGTGGCTCACGCCTGTCATCCTAGCACTCTGGGAGGCCGAGGCGGGTGGACTGGGAGGCCAAGGCAGGTGGATTGCTCAAGGTCAGGAGTTAGAAACCAGCCTGAGCAAGACCCCGTCTCTACTAAAAATAGAAAATTAATTGGCCAACTAACATATAGAGAAAAAATCAGCCGGGCATGGTGGTGCATGCCTGTAGTCCCAGCTACTCTGGAGGCTGAGGCAGGAGGATTGCTTGAGCCCAGGAGTCTGAGGTTGCTGTGAGCTAGGCTGACACCATGGCACTCACTCTAGCCTGGGCAACAAAGCCAGACTCTGTCTCAAAAAAAAAAAAAAAGAGTAAGCAGCAAGTGTGGGACCTGCCTTCTCCCCGGCTTAGCCTGAGCCTGGGCGGCCACGCCCGTGAAGCCTGTCTCGGCCTGGCCACCGCGGTCTGATAGCCCTGGCGACGGCCACCAGTCAGCTGTGCCGCAGCGCCTGGGATCTGTGTCTTCCAGGTACATGGCCAGCACGGACACCTACCTTAAGAATGTCGCCTTAAAGCACATGCCTCCCAACTTGCAGAAGGTGGACCTGCTGAGGTCGGGTAAGCAGAGCTTTCTCCTCAGACATCGCAGGAGCTCTCCATCTTCGTCTTTTTTTTCCCTCAGATATGAAAGCAAATTGTAGATAGGAAAAAGAAAAGAGGAAGGGTTCTTTGTGGTTTTAAAAATTTATTAGGGACAGACACAAAAATAGCCATTTTAGCGTCACTTTTGTGTTCTTCAGTTCAGTCACACTCTTGGGACTGCCGTTATAAACATAGACTCTGCGGCGTCTGCGCCGTGTTGGGCGTTTTCTTGTTGTTGTTTGTTTGTTTTCTGGGTTTTTTTTTTTTTTTTTTTTTTTTGAGACAGTCTCACCCTGTTGCCTGGGCTAGAGTGCTGAGCGCTCAGCCTAGTTCACAGCAACCTCAAACTCCTGGGTTCAACGATCCTCCTGCCTCAGCCTCCCAAGTAACTGGGACTACAGCCATGCACCACCATGCCCGGCTACATTTTTCTTCTATATATATTAGTTGGCCAATTAATTTCTCTCTATTTATAGTAGAGACAGGGTCTCGGTCTTGCTCAGGCTGGTTTCGAACTCCTGACCTCGAGCAATCTGCCCGCCTCGGCCTCCCAGAGTGCCAGGGTTACAGGTGTGAGCCACCGCGCCCGCCCATGACCCAGTCTTTTGACTAGTCTTTCCTCCTGCTCCGCCAACGGAAGAGTGTTCCTAACCAGATCCGTACGGCGTCCTCCCGAAACGCCGTGCGTATTTCTACCTCAGGGTCACCAGGTCACAGCCTCATCCACAGAGGCCACTGCTCGCTGGTTCCGGTCCTCCGCAGAGTGCCGGAGTCCCCCGCGCAGAGCAGGTGCTCGCTGCCCGTTGAACGCGCCAGGGCTCGCCTCGGATCACCGGCCCCAGATGCTGTTGCATCAGGGTCCCTTCGTGTCCATTACCATCAATCCCAGCAGCAACTTTTCCCACGCTGGCCGTGGAAGCTTGGCGTTTTCTAATAATTATGTTTTCCTGGCAGTTCCCAAACCAGATCTGGATTCATACGTGTTTCTGAGAGTCAGAGAACGGCAAGAAAACATACTGGTAGAACCAGAAACAGATGAGCAGAGGTGCGTTGTGTGTGTGTGTGTGTGTGTGTGTGTGTGTGTGTGTGTGTGCGTGCGTGTCATCCACAGTGGGAACATTCCTCCCAGTGGGGACCAGCCACGCTCTGCCAATAAATCTTTTTCCCCCTTTTCCAGGGACTACGTGATTGACCTGGAGGAGGGCTCCCAGCACTTGATCCGGTATAAAACCATTGCACCTCTGGTTGCTTCTGGAGCCGTACAGCTCATTTAAAACTAAAAGTAAACAAGAATGAAGACACAGAAGCTTAGGGAAAGTAATATTCTAGTATTTTAGAGACCACTCGAGTCGTTTTGTGCCTGAGGGCAATGAGGAAGTAGTTCTCCTGAGGTCACTCTTTTCTTGGCAGCGCTGTGGATTACTTGGGCCTTGAAAAGGAGCTCAAGGCAGGTTCCTCCTGTCTGCCATCTCAGCCGGAGTCAGCAGGTGGGGCCCTTGCTCCGTCTGTCCTGCTCTCTACGCAAGTAAGCGGAGACGCACATTCTGGGCACCTTTTCCCTCCACGGCACTTTCCGGAGCTAAGGAAAGTAAAGCAAAGGTAGTTCGTGAAAGGCCTCCCTGCCTCTCATCAGGGGACGGTATTTAGCCCTGACCTGGTATTTCTAGGAGAGTTCAGTTAACCGTTCCGATAGCAAGATTGTAAATAGATTAAAGAAGACATCTGTGGCCGTCTTCTGTAATAAACACATCGTTAGATTTTGTGAACTAACCTTTGGGATCCCCTAATGTTGGACTTAAAACCCATTTCTGTCATGCTTAACTGACAATCACAGCTAAACCAATAAACCATTACTAAATTCGGTCTGGTGGCAGAAGGCTCCTCTGGGCGGCGCTTGGCGTGTTGTCTAATGACGCGAGTTCCTCCCCGCTGGTCGCCTGTGGCCACCCGGCTCTCGGGCAGCTTCGCCAAGCCAGCCTCCAGGCCATCTGGCCATCCCTGGCTGACGTACCTTCCGTGTCGTCACCCCTCAAGCTGCTTTTCCCTTCCGAGCCCTTCGCTATTTCAAGGGAAATGGCTGGCGCGGCCCTACTGTGAGACCCGCAGGAAGGACGTGTACTCAGTGGACGCATTATCATTCCTTGAAACATGACGAAAAGCAAGCTGCCTTCCATTCCTTCCTGGCTTGGTGAGAAGCCAGCAGATCTTCACTTGCAAGATACAGGCCGCGAGAGTAACCAGTATAACGTTGCTATCTTTTCCAAGAGAAATCAGGTGAAAGCAAGGAAGACTTTATTCGTTGATAAAAGGTTTGGCATCATGCGCGCCTTGCTTTCTTTCTCCAGAGTGTCTTCAGCCTCTCGGCTGCCACAAACAGCTGCACATGAGCGTCAGCGCGCCAAGCGCGGGTCAAGGCAGAGGCTGCGCCGAGAGCAGGACAGTCACTGTCCCCACTCGGGCAGAGTGAAAAGTGCTTTGCAGAGGTTGAATGGGGTGCAGTGTTAGTTTTTGCTTTTATAAAGAATACCTGAAGGCCGGCTCGGTGTCTCACGCCTGTATCCTAGCACTCTGGGAGGCCGAGGCGGGTGGATCGCTTGAGGTCAGGAGTTCAAACCAGCCTGAGCAAGAGCGAGACCGTCTCTATGCTATAAATAGAAAGAAATTAATTGGCCAATTATATATAGAGAAAAAAGTTAGCCGGGCATGGCGGCACATGCTGTAGTCCCAGCTACTCGGGAGGCTGAGGCAGGAGGATCACTTGAGCCCAGGAGATTGAGGTTGGTGTGGTTAGGCTGACGCCAAGGCACTCACTCTAGCCTGGGCAACAGAGTGAGAACTCTATCTCAAAAATAAAAAAGAAAGAAAGAAATACCTGAGGCTGGGTAATCTATAAAGAAAGAGGTTTGTTCAGCTCAGGGCTCTGGTTGTACTAGAAGCCTTGTGGAAGAAGCAACTTGCCAGGGTCTGCCGGCGAGGGCTCCGGGATTCCCGTCCTGGCAGGAGGTGACGGGGGAGGAGCAGCTGGTCGCATGGTGAGGAAAGCAAAAAGGGGTAGGGGGTGCCGGTTTGAACAGCTAGCTCCGTGAGCTCATAAAGTGACAGATCTTGTGGTAGGAAGGCACCAAGCCATCCCAAGGGATCCCCCACGACCCAAACACCTCCACCAGGCCCCAGCCAACACAGGCTCAGATTCCAGCATGAGATTGGAGGGGCCAAACATCCAAACCCATCGGGGACTTACCAAGAGAGCTGGACCGGGGGTCTGGGAGTGCCTCCCTGGAGAGAAGAACATTTAGACTGAGATCTGAGTAACAGGAAAGGACATGCCAAGATCAAAAGGGCATTAGGTAGCATAACGGAACAGCTTGTGCAAAGGCCCTGAGGCAGACACAAGCCCTGCCTGCGGTCTTTGTGGCTAGTGGTGCAGAGTAAGGTCGCTTAGGCCCTTGTTAGCAAGGATCCCATCTGGTCCTCGCAGCAGTCCTGAGGCTAGGCTGGGCTGGTGTGTGTGAACGGTGGAACCAAAGCAGATAACTAACTTAGTGGGCGTCTGAGATCAGAACACAAGTCTCCTTCCTCCCCGGCCAGGCTCTCACTGTGTGTGCGAAGCAGCCGGAAGAGAAGAGACCCGGCTAGAATCAGGGACTAGAAAAATGAAAAACAGAATCAGGGACTAGAAAAATGAAAAACAGAACAGTGCTCTCTTAAGCCTGGGTGGGTGTCCATACCAGTCACGCGGGGAGCACGGTAAGATGTGGACCCTGACTCGGCCAGGAGCAGGGCTCACGGCTCTGCATTTCTGGGGGGTCCCCGGGTTGTGCAGCTGCTGCCAGCCCAGGACACGGGGAGCGGCAGGGCTGTGTCCTCACGTTGCGGCGGCTCCCCGGGTGCCAGCCTCCCGGAGGTGTTCGCTGCGTTCCCTGCTAAAGCCGCAGAATGGATTGCTCCATTTCGTGAGCTACCTCTGTAAAGGAAGGCTGGTTTAGAAATGCCGTTCATTAAAACCAAGGGGAAGTTGAATTTCAAAACCAAGTAGAAGGGAAATGATGTGGCTTGGTCAGCTTTGATTTTAGCTTCCCAGTTATGGCGAGTATTTTGCTTTTTTTGTTAGAGACACCACTGATGCATGGCAGAACATGTCGTCCAGTACTGGCATCGTCCTTCAGCACGCGCTTGTCCCTAGCAAGGCAGCTGCTCCTGAGAAGCGCTTGCAGGTCTGTGTGTGGGTTTTCCCATCACAGTAATCGCTGTCAGCAGAGTCTGCTCTGCCCAAGACCCGGCAGCCAGCGTGGCTTCAGTGCCACCCTCAGAGGCATGGAACTTCCCTCTGCGATGTACAAGAGTTACCTTGAAGTTTTCAGAGTATATGTGTATGTATGTATGTGAATATATATATATATATATACACACACACACACATATATATATATATACACATAGCGCCCAGTCTAGAGTGAGTGCCGTGGCGTCAGCCTAGCTCATAGCAACCTCAAACTCCTGGCTTCCAAAACCAAATTCCTGCTGCCTCAGCCTCCCAGGTAGCTAGGACTACAGGCATGCGCCACCATGCCAGGCTTAATTTATAATATATATAATTTATATATAATATATATATACAACACACATAGTACATATATATTAATTAGTTGGCTAATTAATTTTTTTCTATTTATAGTAGAGACGGGGTCTCGCTCTTGCTCAATCTGGTTTCAAACTCCTGACTTTGAGCGATCCGCCCACCTCGGCTTCCCAGAGAGCTAGGATTACAGCTAAGCCACCTCGCCTGGCCCAGAGTATATTTTTAAGCAAACACATTATATACAAATTCTTATTATATAGTGTTCTTTAGAAGTGTTATCTTGGAAGCAAACATTCCAAACCATTGGAATTCTTTTAAGAATGATTTTTTAAATGTAGCTAATCAACTAGCTGTGAAGAATACTTCTCCATATTGTAAAAAAAAAAAAAAAAAACCTTCATTTTTTTAAAAAACAAAATAAGTGGTTTGTACTTATTTAACACATTTGGTTTCAAATACCTTGGCTGTTTCTAAAAAATGGGGTATTCCTTCCATAGCTGAAAAATAGCTACTGGGAGAATTCAAGGAATATACCGGGGATTCTGCAGGCAATAATAATGTTTAATGTTTACCATGAATCAGACTGTTCTCTAAGTAGATTAATTTGAAGGTGGGAGGGAAGGTGGGAAGGTGGGAAAGAAGGTGGGAAGGTGGGAGGGAAGGTGGGAAGGAAGGTTGGAGGGAAGGTGGGAAAGAAGGTGGGAAGGTGGGAGGGAAGGTGGGAAGGTGGAGAGGAAGGTGGGAGGGAAGGTGGGAAGGAAGGTTGGAGGGAAGGTGGGAAGGAAGGTTGGAGGGAAGGTGGGAAGGAAGGTGGACAGTGGGTAGGTGGGA